TCTTACTCTCAACAGAGTATTTTTGACATTTGACAAAGTTCACATGCTCTTGCATTAGTGAAGAATGTCTTTTATTGTATAACTCTTAAACACCCAGTTGGCAGGTATACATGGTATCTAATGGTTTTATGGAGACTTTCTGGAGTAGCAATTCCCTGCTTTTCCTCCAGCATTGCTTACCTTCATTTACATAATATTCGTTTTGTGTGGTAACGGAATAAATATGGGCCTTTGTACAGAACAGTGACCAGTGGCTCAAACAACTGGGCATCTGTCTAAGTCATAATTATTTTAACCAAAGAATAGTCTAGCTTAGATGACTACTTACAAGATCCAAAAATCTACAATCTTGGTTAAAAAGAAAAGATTAAGTAAAAAATACTTTTTTTGCATTCATTTTAAGGTTTTAAATATATATAAATATTTTATTATCAATTATTTTCCATGTGGTTAAAGATTGAATTTCTTCCAAACAAAAAAAGTGTGTTAGATTGTGCTGCTGCAGTAAAAGTTGAAATTATTTCAAGTTCTGTAAATTGCTATATGTGCCTATGCTGCCCTTGAACTTAATCCTGCTACCTCATCCATTTTGAACCTGCCACCTTGTATCTATTTCAACTGCTGCTTTATAGAGGAGAAGCATAGTAGTGGCCAGTGGGCAGGGTATAGAGCATTCTGACCCATTAGACTCAAAATCAATTTGCTCAAAAGGTTTGCCATAATTCAGTCATAGTAAGCACCACAGGCATAAGTTTACTTATTTATGGTCTGGGCTCTATTTCCCTGGCACGGACCAGCCTGTCAGAGTTAGTGTTTGCATGTGTATATTAGCATGAACAAGCCAGTTCCACCTCAGTAAAATTGGATCCAATTCACATCTCCCATAGTCTGAGTTAAGTAAAGACCACATCTAAATTAAATAACACACACAAAAAATAAAAACTTGAAAATAGGTTTATCTTCTTATCCCAGAAGATTTACAAATAAATGCTACAGGTAAACACACAATGACATCATGATACTGTGTTAGTATTTCCTGGCAGAGAACAGAATTTATGATTCATGGGGGTCCAGAGGCAGTAAAGCCACCCCAGACCACTACACTACGCCACCATGTTTAACCATGCTTGGTGGTATGACCTCTTATTCTGAAATGCAATGTTTATTTTTTGCCAGATGTAACAAGAGACGCACAGTCAAAAAAGCTGCATTTTTGTCTCATCAGTACACTTCTTCAAAGTCATAGAGATCATTAAGGGAAACGTGAGACATGCCTTTGTGGTTTTATGGTCAGCAGTGGTTTTTACTTTGGCATTCTCCCAGTGGTGCTGTTTTTGCCCAGGATCTTTCCTATTCAATATGTCAGCGACCACGTTTCTCATCTTTTGAGGAATTTTTCAGGACTTCTTTCAGCCTGGTTTATGTTGTGAAGTAGATGCAATTCAAGTGGTTTCTTAACTCTACTTGTCTATCAGTAATCCAGCGTGGCCTGGGAAATTAAATTCTTCTTTTCAAAAGTGGAGGTCAATCATATCCATGATTCAACCAGCAGGAATGCCTTTTTTGATGGGACAGGGGTGATTGAAATCTTAATATTCTATATTTAATATATTTTTTATTTATTTTATATTATACATATTTTATATTTATTTAGCTTTTTTAATATAAAAAAATCTAATGATCTAATGTGTAAAATACAGTAAAAACAGGAGAAATCACCATAGAGGGAACATGTATTCACAGCACTGTCTACAAAAAAAAGTCCCACCCTTCGATCCAGTCTTTTGAACTCAATAACAATTTTGTATTATTTTTTCCTGTCTCTTAACTAGACTCTGGTAACTGATTAAAAATGTATTCAAAGAAATCATCTAAATCTCCAAAAAGAGGCTAAGAAAAAAACCTCCCATGCAGGTAAACAACATTTAACATTTAATTCATTTTTATTCCATTTCTAGTCTAGGTTTTCCTAATAAATGACAAACGTCTTTGTTCTTATCCCCTTCTGAGTTCACATGGAACATATATGAGGGAGACATGTCCTGTCACACAGCCAGACAGCCTGGCTTAGGTCACTGAAAAGATACCAGCCGCTGAGAAATGAGGGAGGAATGGAGCCAAAGTGAAAGTGACATATCTATTGAAGACAGATAGCAGGCATTTACAGACAGATTTATTCAAATAGGCATACACATCCAGATAAAATCTGAGGCCACCCAACCATGAGGTGAAATTCTAAGCTACTATTTGATTGCTTCCTTGAACTAAGGGTACAGATAAAAAAGGGCGGTATTTCTAAGAGAGCTTTTGCAGCATGGCATCCATCTTCCCCTAAAGGCCCAGCCAAGGAGAAAGACAGTTCCAGGTAAAAATTGTGTGTGAGGGATTGACGCACACATGAAGATGAAACGATGGAGCCATTGTGTGTGTGGACAGACAGGTTGCTACTGGCCTCTAATGCAATATATGTTATGTGCCATTGTGACGTGCAGCAGCTTCAGTCAAGAAGTGAACAAAAAATGAAAGCGAAAAAGTAGCCAAGTGTTATACTCCCTGGCCTCATGGGAGGTTGATGACATCAATGAGAAGCTAATAATCTTGACTTAAGCAAGCTTTGAGGGGTAACTTAGTCTACTAATGGTCAACCAGTCTTCTCCTAGCATGTCTTGCTTTCAGAAGATCAGGGGTAGTTTGGGGGTAGACAACAAAATAGGAGGCATTTTGCACTTCCTCACATTAAAATATTGACAAGGCCCACTATGGGTTGTCTGCTATTGATTGCCCCTCCTACCCTTTGGTGCTCTGGTGCTTGTTATGAGACGCACGTACAGAGATTAATGCTGTGCGTGTGCCTTTGTGAACGCATGTATCCATATTTACATTGATATTTATGGAGGTTCCGAATCACAAGCATGATTTATTGATGTTGAAAATGACTGAGTTACCAAGTTTTGCTTCTATTCTTGCACAAAGAAATCACAAATATACCTGACATGAGCTTGGGAGGGCCAGCACAAAATGTATTACAAACAGGGTAAAATGCGGTCAGCTAAATGTCAAGTGAATGCAGAACCTCCTCCTAAATGAGTCCCTTTAGAAAACATCTCAAATCTGATGTGATTTCACTATAAAAAAAAATTCCAGACTTTTCAGAATTAATCATACAGAATGCACAGTACTGTAATATACGTTTGGTATAGCATTTAGCAGTGCATGCTTGTTTTAAAATACCAACAGGTACACACATACACACAGACAAGTCGACTTTCCCACAAGAGAAAACCATGATGTCATCTTTTTTATGCCCTGTGTATTACAGTACTTGTTTCCAGTGGTTGAAATCAACCAACTCGTGCCCTCTAGAGGTGAGGTAATAAAACTGCATCAATACAACTCTTCAGAGGACACAGAATATGCACAGTTTATAAGTGTTAAATGTTATGCATATGATATCCAATGACATATTAAGTAAAACATATAAAACAGTTTTGAAAATATCCCCAATGTACACAATTTGCCCTTTTTTCTTTGTAGCCCTTTATAACATGTTCATTCCGATAATTAATAGGATAATGAAAATGCAGTTTTCTTTTAAAAAGCAGCAGAAGTTCATAACAAATCTATAACAATACAATTTTGCATAATAGTACAATGTTTAATGCCTTGCAAAGGGTTTCATAGTACTTATACATTTTTACATTACAATTTTTGGTGATATTAAACCGTATTACTTTTATTTTGAAATGACATGCTCAAGCTTAATTTGTTTTTTAAACAGGTTTTTTTTTGCAATAGACCAACAAGGTATTACCTAACTGTGCAATGAAAAGAAAATTATTCAGTTTTCTTTTTTATTCTTTAAAAAAATGCAATATTGAAAGCTATGTGTATTGGTTTGCCCTCTGCCTTTTTGGGATATGTCTTTGCATCCAACTGGCAGGTTTTCTCTAGGAATAACTGGTACTTAACCTAGGTAACTTTAAAATAAAGAAGCTTTTCTGTCTCTTTTGAGTAAAAGTACTCCCTCTGCATGAGGCTGTAACAAACAACCATCTTATATGGTTGTAAGAACGATGTGCATGCATTGATCATTCAACTTTTTCCCTTTTGCATGCAGCCAAAAACTGTTTGTGTATTTATAATTTCCCCATTTCCCCATTGAGGGACAACAAAAGTTTTTTCCAGTGTTCCAGGCTTGTAGCAAATATTATAAGGGACGTCTTGTGGCCTTCTTTCAACAAAGGATTTCCTCTTGACAGTATTCCATTCAAGCCAGATCTTTTTTATAAATTAACATTTGAACTGTTAACATACTCCCCCAACTGAGCTGCAGATTTATGCAGCAACTCGAGAGTTACAATGGACTACTAGTCTCCTTCTTACTTGGATGGTCTGTTGGTTTATTTAGGTGGGTGGTGGCAATGTTTTGGTAGGTTTGCAGTAGGGCTCTACTTTTTCTGTTTAAGTAAGGACAGCTGTAATTATACAAAAATGAAGGAAGTTTGTTTTTTTACTTATTTAAAAGGTCAGTACATCTCTGCAGTACAAGTGCAATAATCCAAGTCAACTACTATATATACATACTATATATATATATATATATATATATATATATATATATATATATATATATACAATATACACTCTTTTAATACTGTTATCTTTAATGGTATCTTGCTTTAACTCTTTGTACTCTATATAAGCTACTGGAACCAGGATTTCCATGAAGGAGCAATCCCAAGAGATAAATAAAGTTGAGTCTAAGTCTATGCTGATCTGAATGGACGTTTTTTTAAGCATGTCATAGTTAAGTGAGCATTTTCTGATTTTGTAGATATTTAAATAAAGCACAGGTATCAATTTGTACAAAAGTTTGGAACTTAATTATGTAAATTGTGGTGTATGTTTTAATCTTGCCATTTTAGGTTTATTTTTTCTAAAATTCTTAATTTTTTAGCTTTTCTATGACTGAAAGGTAAAGCCATATACCCCTTTCTCACCTCTTTGGTGATGTTGTCTTGGATCAGGCTGTAGAGTGGCACAACCCTGCTCACTTCAAGAAGGACAGGGATGGGAGAAGGTTGCTCATCCCTCCTACTATTACTGTTGCGACTTCTTCCCGACCGTCCACCCATCATACCCTGGTGATGGCACAGGTGGCAGCCAGAGGGACAGCTGCCTTTTTCTTCACAACGGATCTCTACACCATTCACCAGGTCGTCAGACAACAGCTGGCTCTTCTGCAAAGCTAGCAGGTAGCTGATAAAGGGGACTGACTTAAGCTCCCTTCTCCCTCCTCCAACAACTCCTTGGTCTGTCGCCTCTGGAGGAGGAGGCATTAGAGGAACAGAAAATGTGAAAATATGGTTAGAAAGCGATGAAAACGAAGACAAACAGAAACAGCTTTACCATTATATATATATATATATATATATATATATATATATATATATATATATATATATATATATATTCTTTACAGCTATTTTCAGTGGTAAACATATTTCACCTATCTTTAGCTACCGGTACATTTTGTCGGCTGGAAATACAATTAGCATCACATGGGTGGATTGAATCAATGCTATACATCAACACATTAAGATGCTTACTCCCCTGATGTCTGAATTTATAGATACAAACACAGATTATATATATATATATATATATATATATATATATATATATATATATATATATATATATATATATAT